CTATTCATTTTGATCCTATTAAATACATATTTGAACGTGTCAAGAAACAGTAAACCATCTGATTCTGTTTGGTTTGGTTTGGTTACTAGTTTCTTTGAGCTAAAATCTTCCCTTTAAGCTAAACCATCTCTGTGACTTGGTTGCAGTTCTTGGATCAGTGATTGTGGTGGAGTCCCTTGTGGTATTCTCTCTCGCTACTTTGTTTCTGTTCTTCACATGCAGATGCGCATTTCTTCTTGTACACGAGAGAAAAGAACAATATGTTCACAAGAATTCGCAGAAATCAACGGTAACTAAAGACTCGCCTCTTTTGTTGGTTTCTTACATACAGCCATAAACATAAAAAATGTAATTCTCTCTTCTGGAGCAGGAAAATGCAGAAATGCTGTTAAAGGGTGGTGTTTCAACATGAACAATAACAGGTTGTCTCCCGAAGAGTATCTGGAATCGCCATCTGCGCCCCAGGTATATCTTAGAGTTTGGGGGAAATGGTTTAATTGGATAAATAACAGGGTTCCCTTCCTATCATTGTATGTGCTTATGTTTATTCTTTTGATTGTATAGACACATGGGTGAAACTTCCGGCAAGCAGATCGATGAGCAGTCGCCAGAGATTAACATTGTTCCGTTGGAGATAGAGAAGGCTACAACTTCATGAATCTGAGCCATGGAAGGGGAAAGAAGAGTTGCATTGGTTGTAATGCTCATTGATTCTATGATTGCCATTTTTTGGTCAGTTAGCAAATATTTGTAATATAGATCACAAGAGCCATAAGTTGATTAAACAAATTCCCATTCTTTTAATCCCAGTAGCTAGGTTCATAAAAAGGACATGATTTTGAAACTAGAAATAAAAATCATATTACCAGAAAACTAAAATTTGGTTTGAGTTCGATCCATTTCCCTCCTAGTGAAAAATTGATCGAAGTCAAACCTCTTTACATCAAATAAGACGGACACATATCTGTAACCAAAATTAAGCAAAGAGATCAACTATATTGCCGTGGATTACATACATAATCAGAAGAGCTAATAAAGAGTTAAAATTTCCTTGTTATCTTCAAAGTGCAGAAGCAATCTCATAATTGACAAATATATCTTTCATCGAAACTTGTGGGAAGCACAAAAGCTCCATCTTCCTGAAGAGTGTACTCGGAAACCCAATCATCCAAGAAGGTTGAATCATAATCTATGAGTTGATCAATATCCATATCTAATTCATTGTCAAGCCCTTCAAAGTTGTCTGCAGGTAATGCGCTCTTGTCCGTGACGCAAAAACTTTGACAAACTGCGAGGATCTGATCATGCTCCTCTGTGTTGTCATTGAAAACTGCAGGTAAATCATCATCATCATCCAAGACAACAACCTCTGTATCCTTGGTCTTGTTCAGACAATCATCAGGAATGCAACAAGTAGTGGATTGAAGATTTAGGGTTTGGTCTGGCTCTTGATTTCCGCCACCAAGTAAAACATGATCGCTCTTCTTCACGGCATCCTCAGACGAAGACATGATCTCATTATCCGTTTTCTATAAGAAATCATCAGAAATTTCAGGAGTGGTGATGCGGGAGCAGACGTGCAAGACAAGGAAGCAACACAAGGCGTAGAGATGAAGAACCGGCTGACTGTCACTTTGTTGATTTTGGTCCTGCCTATTAACTAAAACGTGGAGATCATTCTTTTGGGGTGGATTTGATGAAGATAAGTTTAATGAAGTGTTTTCAGGCCTAAATAAACAAGATAAGAGCCCATTTCGTATCTGGTCAAGACTGCATTAAAAACAGGCTGTTTCTCTCTCTTTCATACAGATTAGAGTTTGAATTTAATTTTTCTAGGTGCTCTGCATGTAGAGAACCATTTATGAATGTTTTTATTATATTTTCTCTATATAATGAGGCCCTTATTCATGAATAAAAATCAGAAAACGAGTTTGAGAATTTGGAGTGTCTTTGTGATTCCTTTTGATCTGTTTAGATCTTTTACCTTTATCCTTTGATTTTGAGAGAGTCATTGGTGGTGGTTTCGAGCGTCTTTATCTTCTGGTGGTGGCAACTTTATCTAGGAGTGGTGCTAGCTTAGCGGGTTTCTTTATCAGCTCCAATGCTTCGATTTTACGAGTTGTGGTGATCCTGTATCTTCCTCTTATCCGGTTACTTCAGTTCTGTTCAAATTTGTCTTTGTTACGGTCTCTATTTTATTCACTTCGTTCGCTTCCTGCTACACGTATCAAAGTGGTATCAAAGCAATTCCAGGTTGCTGGAGTGAAGACTTTTGGTTATCCTCTCTTGTGAAACGTTTTCAATGGATCTTCCTAGAGGATTGACGCTAGAACAAGCGCATGCTGAGCGTATTAATAGAGAGATGGTAGATCTAAGGCAACAGATGCAGTAGTTGGTTCAGGCTTTTAATGGCGTGAATATTCAAGATCAGCCAAGGAGACGAAGAGTCGTGGGTGTTGAAACGTCTTCTGATGAAAGTGGAGGTTCTTCTCATTGATCTGATGTTGATCCTAGTATTGTTATGGAACATGGCAGAAGGAGAAGAGATAACCGTCCACAACAACAACCGCCTCGTCGTGAAGAAGATTTCAGAGTGGATTTCCCTAATTTTGAAGGTAATCTGAATCCAGATGACTTTCTCGATTGGTTGAGATCTATGGAGATGGCGTTTGAATACAACACTTATGACGATGAGAAGAAATTTAAGGTGGCTACGTTGAGATTTAAGGGTTATGCTAACCTTTGGTGGGATACAGCGTGTTAGAGA